TCCGGCTGCTAAGGAAAAGGCTCACTTGTGGCACGACGCCTACGCTTCACCAAACTGTAATTATGTGTCTATTCTACCCCAAGAGCCTTAAGATAGAAACCCCGGGTTCCTCTCCTTTAAACTGACCTCTGCGTTTGCGGAGAGAACTTTTCAAAAACTAAGAATAAAATTAAGACCAAAATGAAATATACACATAAAGGTTTTCCTGGATCCCCTCCACGGGCTGTGTGACCAGAGAAGCTGGATGCTCCAGGGCCCAGGAGAGCCCTGGACGGTGGCCCAGAGGGCGGGCGGGCCCAGAGGGAGGCCTGGATGGCGGCTCAGAAGGGCCGGTGGGTATCCTCACTTTGGAAGGGGGTCCTTCCCTGCCCTCTGAGGAGCACGCGCGGAGGGAGAGGCTGTGAAGGAATTCGTGCACCATGCTGGCGTGCGGAACCAACAGGATGGGAACAGATGGCCCTGACAGAGACCCCGGCGGCTGGTGGTGACAGATCAGAGCAGTCCCAGCAGGAGACACTCCGCGGGGATCGTCAGGGATCGGCAGGGGGGTCAGCACGCGGCCACAGATCATTCTGGGGACAGGAGAAACCAGAGCCCTATGTTCCCTCCTGGGTGAAGGTCCCCAGGAGGAGACCTTCTGCCACTTGGGCCACCAAGTTACACCCCCCCCTCGGAATAGAGGACAAATATGGGGCACCTGCCAGGGCGGGTGGGAGGGCAGGGCCGAGGAACTTCCCAAGGCAGCCCAGGTTGATCCGCGGACGCTCGCCGGCTCACGGGGAGGACGCCTGACCCACTTTGAGAGGAGGAGACGGAGGAGAGGAGACGGGCACCGTGCGTGGTGGCTGCTCTGAATACACAATCAGAGGGAAGGCAGCCCTGTGGGTCCCAGCAGCCCAGACCCAGACCGAGGAGGGCAGTGCGCTGCAGAGCAGTGCTTATTGGAAAGAATCAGTGTTTTAATAACGCCAAATGGGGCGCCCTGAGCAGAGCCAGCTGTCCGTGTCCCCAGCTGGGAGGCGTCTGCTGGCGTCTCTGGGGGAAGCTGGTAATGGGAGTGAAGGAGCGACACTACCAGCCAGTGTCCCAGGCGCGAAAGGTCTACACCAAGCATGACAAACTCAAAGGCTAACGCGGGCCACAGAAACGAGGCATGCTGCCTGCGGGCCACGAGTCTGACACGCTTGGTCTACACTCATCATTTGAGCGGCTTGGGGCCTGGGCTCTAAAGCCACAGCCGCTGGGCCTGGGGGCACGAAGGACAGCACTTTGGGCTGCGTCTCTGAGTGACCCTGGTCTGCTGGCCACTGACAGGGAGAGCGGGAGGAGCTACAGAGGAAGCCCCCGGCACCTCTGTGTGGGGGCTGCTTCTCTCTCTGGGGCTCAGGCCTCCTCCAGGGCAGTGGGGGTGCCCCAGGACCAGCGCTGGCCTGTTCAGGAAGCGCACACGGGGGGGAGGTGCAGAGGGAGAGGCTGGCAGGGGTGGCACCCGGGCCGGAGCCCATGCTGGGTGCTCGGGAGCCTGTGGCTGACCTGAAGCAGCTGCCGGGGTAAGTGACCGTATGGCCACCGGAGACCCTCCTTGCACGGGTGAATTCAGAGGCATCTGCAGCCTGGGTTTGCCAGACTGACCAGCCTGGTCTCCCCAGGACTTGTGTGGGGAGCAAAAGAAATGCATCAACACTGGTTGGTGCCTGTCCTACGTGTTCTGACATTTTCGCCGACAAGTGGCTATTGGAAAAGGCCATCCAGCCCTCTCAACCCCATTGGGGCAGCTCGAGGGGCTTCCGGCTAATGGCTGAGGGAGGGCGGAGGGTGCAGAGAAAGCAGGGCCGGCCCTGCGCTCCGGGGCGGGCTCGGGGCGGGCTCCTGCAGTCCTCCCGCCTGGGGTTTCAACAGATGGCAGAACAAATTCCTAATTAAGCACAAGAAAGCTTCCGGCTCAGTACGTCTATGATTTTCCAGTTCCTTTGCTGCTCATTTCCCCTTTTGTTTCTCTAGAACCCAAGCCAGCTTACTGCCACCCTGAGCGCCTCACTCGCGGCCAGACGCCTGGGCCCTGAGACGGGAGAGGGACGAGGGGGAGTGTGCCGGAGGGTCCCGGGGCCACTGCACGCAGCTGCTTTTCAAAGGCAACGTGAAAAGCAAGTTCACATAACTGACAACTTGGTGCTGACTTGAGGAGAGACAAGGCTTTGGTGCTCACTGCCTTTGAGGGGTTCTAGAAATCTCCCCTGGGGTGCACCTGGGCTAGAGGAGACGCCCTCCACAGCCCCCGCTCCCAACGGCCTGCAGACCCCCGGGGGGGCAGGCAGCCCCTCCCACAGCGGGACGGCCTGGCCAGGGTGCTTGGTGTCCCCGGTCCTCCCTGATGCCCGCTGCTGTCTCCCTCCAGCTCCCCAGCAGAAGTGCCCGGGGGCTGCGGTGCAGGCTGGGAATGGGCCCTCGGCTGGGCTACATTTTAGACTTGACTGGCGACCCTCTTACGTGAGAGGTTGACTTCCCAAGCCCGCAGGTCTGTCTCGGAGAACGCTGCCGGTGCGGTGCGTCACCCAGAGCCTCTGGGGCAGGCTGCTGGCTATCTCTCGGATCAAGGGGAGGGAGAGGCAAATGACTTGCAGAGAGGACGCTGCCCAGACAATGTCACCTCCCAAACAGAGTGTGGGTGACCTTCACGAGCTGGGCTCCGCCTCAAACCCTCTCAAAGCCCAACGCCTCTCAAGGCCACTGCCACCGGCCATGCTGCACTTCGGGGGCTGCCTCCCTGGGAGGGCCGGGGCCTCCAGGGTGTGGGGACCCCGAGGATTCCCACTGTGTCCCTGCGCCAATGAGCAGCCACCCTGCTGCCCTGGGGGAGGGGCCCTGGTGGGGAGAAAGAGGCGGAATGGGTCACCGGGCTGGGCGGCCTGAGCCCTGGCAAAGAGCAATGGGTTGTCTAAAGCAACCCAGCCGCCGACTCCGCGCTGTGCGAGGACACCAACGGGGGTGGGGGTTGGGGGTGGTGGTGGTGTCAGGGTGTTTCCACTCCCTCAGAGGCCCCCGGGGCCTGCCTCTCCTCTGCAGGTGGGGGCTGTGCTGACCCGAATCTGGGGGAGCCTCATATCCAGTCAGCCTCCTCCCCACCCTCTTACAATCTTCTCTCTTCTAATGAGCGCATTGCTCCTCAGACAGAGGACTTAGACTGAACAGGCACTGGGGTGCTGCAGAGGCCATTAACAGCCATTATCCGCGCCATCCCCTCGTGGGTGGCACGGAATCCATCATGCCAGCTAACGCACGGCGTCCCTCCCCCACCTCCTGCTCCTGCCGCCGCCTCATGAGAGGGAGAGGAGCCGGGCACCAGAGGTGTTTAACTAGCCCCTTTCCATCGCCAAGGCAGCACGTCAGGGACAGCCAATCCCGAGCCGTGGGCTAGGTTTTTAGGACTTTGGGCCCGGCTGCTGGGACGGCAGATTAAGCCAGCGAGGCCAGGAGGGAGGTTTTTCCTCAAACGCTGCTTTCCTGAGAACACTCCTTCTGAAGGTCACTAGGGTTCGCAGACACGGCCACTGATCCCGGACTTTTGGTCACAATCCCTCCTGCACCCAGGGAGGCTCCATGCCCACACCGTGCCCCTGGAGCTGGCGCGACCCTCATGTTCTAAGCAACGCGTGCCCATTTCCCCAGGTGGTCGCGTTCATTTCACCCAGGACTGTGGGGCTCGTGAATGAAACGTGAACACAGCACCTGCGGGTGAGGACAGCTCAGACCCATGAGCGGGGCAGGCAGGAATCGCGCTTCACCCAGATGTCACCCCGGTGTCCTCCTGTCCCTCATCTTGATGGAGGCTGACGGACAGGCTCATCCAGTTACAGAGGCCCCAAAGCTCACCCTCCAGACCACTCAGCCCCGCGCCCATTCCCTTGCAAGGAAGGACCAAGAGCGGGAAGAAGTTACAGGCTGGGGGGTCTGGCTCAAGCCAAGGCAGGACTCCCAGCACTGACTAAGGACCCCGCTGCGCAGCTCTGAGTGCGTGGGAGCCTTCCCATCGGGAGCTCCCGTCCCCATGGCCTGCAGGGTGGGCTGGCCTGGAGCCTGGCCACGTCCCTTCCAGCTGAAGATGCCAGGACTCCCGTGGGGCGAAGTCCCCTGACGCTGGGGTCTGTCATCGCGAGTGGGGACCAGGGGACTGCAGGTGCCAGAACTGTGGGAAATCATTTGGATCAGAAACTGTCTGAGCTCGTCATGACCTAGTGCTGAGCGCCGGCTGCAACGCGGAGCGATGAGGGTGGACGCCTGGGAAAGGGAGCGGGGGACGGCGGTCAGAGGGAGTCTGGGACCATCCTCTTTCACGGGACGGGGGTGTCCCCACCAGAACAGCAACAGTGGGTTTTGCTTTTAGACCAAAACAAGCCTGCAGCGTCAGCTCATGAACCAGAAGGTCGTGGGTTCGATTCCCGGTCAAAGCACGCGCCCAGGTTGCGGGCTCGATCCCCAGTGTGGGGTGTACAGGCAGCCAATCAATGATTCTCTTTCATCATTAATGTTTCTCTCTCTCTCCCTTCCTCTCTGAAACCAGTAAGAATATATATTAAAACAAAAAAACAAGTGTGCAACTGGTCCCAGAGCACGTGTCAGCAGAGGGGGCAGCAGGGAGCCCACACCCTCTTGTCCTGAGTCCAGGTGGTCAGCAGCCCGGGCCGCCAGGGTGGCTGGCAGGATGGAGTGGAGGAATGAATGAGCACCCCACCACACACCTGATTTAAGGGGAGACCCCCCGACCCAGGAAAGCAGTGCTCCTGCTCAGAGGGGAGCCAGGCAGTCAGAGGGCACTGTGGATGAGGGGTCTTCACACCCTGGTGGCTGGGGATGCGATGGGGGGCGCCATGCCCGCTGGTTTATGGCACAGCTCTCATGTCTGAAGGGAGCAGGGCCCTGACCCAGGCCTTCAGGGGTCCAGCCTCCAGTCCAGGTCAGTGGGGAGGGACCGGCGCAGGCGTGTGAAAGATACAGGTCCCAGACTCCGCAGTCCCAGGCCTGGCTCAGCTCCGTCCACACTACCTGATCGTGAAGTGATGTAACTTTACGGGACTGAATTTCCTCATCAGTAGGAAGGCAGGTGGAGCACGGCCCCTCCTTGCCCCAAGGGAGGGGAGCCCACAGAACCCGCACCATGTTCCTGGCTGTCTCGGAGGGCGAAGGAAGGGCCGAGGGGAGAAGGGAGAGATGGAGCTGTTGTCAGACTCACCGATCCATCGCATCAGGGAGGTCAGGATCTGCAGGTACTTGGTCTTCTGGACGTCGAAGAAGGTGAAGGGTCCCAGGAGGAGAGTGAAGACAGCCTGGGTGACAAACACAGGAGTGAGGGGGACACAGGGGCCGGGCCGCACCAGGCACGCCATGTGTGTGTGAGTTTTTTGTTTTGTGTGTGTGTGGTGTGTGTGTGTGTGTGTGTGTGTAGCACACACCGTTCACGCAGCCGCTGCCCCGGGCCGGGCCAGTCCTGACCCAGGTGCACCTGGACTGCAGAGGCTCCCCGGGATCAGACAGCATCAGTGAGTTTCCTGTGTCATGCGCACAGGAGCCAGAGCCACGCTTCTCTGCCCGTCCTCACACTCACTGTCCTGAACTCTGGAAAGGGGTTTCCAGGCAAGTCCCAGGTGACACCCTGGGGACGTTACCTATTCACTTATCTTCAGCAAACACTGATGAGGGAGGCATGGCCTGGCACTGAGTGGGCACGAGCGTGGATTAGGTCTGAGGCGGCAGGAAGAGGAGGGTGGGCAGTGGCACCAGCCACGCCTCGGGCACTCAAGGCTTCCTGGGAGGAGGGGGCAGGGTCCTGACAACACAGTGGAGGGGAGGGGGCGCCATTCTGAAGAGCTCAGAGGAAAGGCTCAATCAGGATGTTGTTAACCAGCGATGTTTTATGTGTGTGTGTTTTTTTAAAAAAATATTATTGATTTCAGAGACAGGAAGGGAGAGGGAGAGAATCACAAATCAGCTGCCTCCTACACACCCGCTACTGGGGATCGAGCCCGTAACGGGGCATGTGCCCTGCCTGGGAATCGAACCGTGACCTCCTGGTTCATAGGTCGATGCTCAACCACTGAGCCACGCCAGCCGGGCAACCAGCAATGTTTTTACCTGACAGAGAAGGGGAAGCAGGGAGAACAGCCCCTGGCTTCCAGGGCAGGTCCTTGGAGAAGGACCCCAGCCCCAGAAGAGCCCAGCCGCACCCGGGAGGGGGCGTGGAGAGTCTGGGAGTGGGGAGCCGGAGGAGAGGAGACGGGCACCGTGCGTGGCACTGTGGGGGCACTGCGGGCTCCTCGGTTCTTTCTCTTGGGAGAACAGGGGAGAGCGAATGTTTACTTTAAAAAAAAATGAAGAAATCCAAAGCCTGTCTTAACAGGGAAATGCGAAGCCTCTTTGCAAAAGAAAACGGGGTAAACTCGGCACCGCGGAGCCTGGGGCTGGGAGGGGGAGGGCAGGATTTCCACGCCAAATTGGGTGCTCAGGGAGAGAGGAATTAAACGCTGCTGGTTGGCGTTGCGCTGATGGCACCATTTCCAATCTGCCACTCGGAAGCGGCGGCGGCATCAGACCTTATTAACATTTACACGGTGCCATTTTACCACGTTAATGCTAATGACACTCGCCAGAGAGACGCAGCCAGCTGGCTCCCAAGGCGAGTGTGGGGAGCGGGGCCCACCCTGGGGAGCCGGCCCGGTCCTGTGACCTGGGTGAACATATCGCAGCTGCGGGGTCTGCCCTGTGCCAGGCAGGCGGGACCCCACAGAAGGGGGGCCGAACCCGCCCCTCCACCGCCCCCGTGGCACGGAGAGCAGGATGTGGAACAAGCTGTGACCTCTTATCCAAGCCCATCATCACTGTGCGAGTGAATGGCAGGAAGGACTAAAGTGGCGGCTGAGAAGGCTCTAATTAGCGGGGGTCGCGGGCCTGGCCGTGGTCCATGGGGCTGGGAGGCTTCTGGCAAGAGCTTTCCGCTCCGCTGGGGCCCGGCAGCAGATCTGCTTCTGTTCCCGGGAGACACAAGCGTCTCATCAGGCCAGGGAGGGGGCTGGGGGCCAGGATCACCCCCGCTTCGCGAGCAAGTCTGTGAGCAACACCGTCAGCAAGTCATTTAGGGAAATGACTGCTTCAGGGAGACGGTCCACTGATGAGCTTCTCTTCTGCGGGATGGGAGGGGTTGTCACGTGGAAGGCACATACGAAGCCACTGGGCACAAGAGTCCCCCAGTGACCGTGGCCTGACCTGGACACCTACTGTGCCCGGGGCGAAGTGGTCGGCGTTTCACCTCTGACCTGTGATGTCTCCCACTGAAACGGGCGCTCCAGCTGTGGGTGCTGGGGGTTTCCTGGGGGGGGGCCTACGCAGGAGGTCAGCTCTCATCTCTGAAGGCTCAGGACTGGGCTTTAGAAAGTCCCGCTATGTAA